TTATATATATTATATATATATATATTTATTATATATATTATATATTATATATATTATATATATTATATATATATATATTATATATAAAAATATATAAAAAATAAATAATATTTTTATATAATTATCATATAATTATAATGAATTTTATATAATTATGTTATTGCAATTTTTATCTAGTTTCTAAAATAATTTATGAAATAAAGCATTCCATTATCACTAATTATGCTGTGCATTATGAAATGATATATTATTTTATAATAATGATTTAAATTTTATAATTTTTATTATAAGTAATATTCTTTATTCTTATTTCTTATTTTATTAATTTTGCATATTTTTAAATTAAATGGTTCCATGATATAAATAAAAATTTTTGAATGCTATATTTATAACATAATTCATTTAAATCGATACTTGTGATAATTTCAAATTTTTTTTTAAATAAAGTCATTTTTAGTATATTATTTTAATATAAATTTTCTTCTTTGATAGGCGTCAGTAATTTCTATAAATATACAACCTACCATGCACCATCATGATGGAAAAGCTGGTTGTCGATGGTTTAACAACGGAAATGGCAATAATAATAGTACTAATAGCACAAACGGTAATAAATGAAAAAATTTATATAGAGATAAATATTATTAATTATATTAATTTGAAATTTGTATAGAAATTAAATTATAAATAATTACATATACATATTTTTAAATATTTTAATTTAAAATATTTTATATTATTAATTTTTTTTAGAAATTTATTTTAAAAACTTATATAACTTCTAATTATAAATTTATATAACACTATTAAATCTATTGAATTGATTTACAGCTGGATAAAATGAAGAATCTTAATGCAGATAAACCAATAAGAATGAAAAATATAAAATGAAAATAAAATTATACAATAAATATAAAATCAATAAAATATTATAGAACAATTATTTTTATGCAAAAAACAAATAAATAAAAAATATATTTACATTATTATTATGTTTTTTAATTAAATAAAAAAAAATCTGAATTTATAAATATTATATATCTTTTCTATTTTTTATATATTATATATCTTTTCATATAAAGTGGTTTATTGAAGAACATAATTATTTTACTAATTGTATATCTAAATAATCCTTTTTTTCATTGTATTATCTTATATATATATAATAATTTTCTTTTATTTTATTAAAATATATAAAAATATAAAAGATTTAATATCGTAGGAAAAATTCTATTAAGACAACATTTTTAAAGGAAAGAAAAAATAACTAATGATAAGCATATACATATGTAAATATGATAAATTTATACATTCATACACATATGCAGTAATACATTATTATTATTATATCAAACATATATATAAAGTTTAAAATATAATTTAAATAAGATCTCATAATACATTTCATTTCTTAATTTTCTCAATAATATTGGCAGTGAAATTTATATTTTACTTATAAATTATGAATATTTTCTTACACAAGTAATTTGTCATACATTTAGATATATTATACATTATGTATAAAATAATATTAAAGTGAGATTAATGCTTAAGTGAAATTTTTTTGAAAACTCATGAATCTATCTTTTTTTTTATATTATTTTCAATATTTGTATTTGTGTCTTTCAATATTTGTATATTTGTTTATAATAAAAAGAATAAAAAATAGATATGCACAAATAATAAATTGTATAAATATTTGTACATTTTCATTATAACTAATTATTTTAAGAAAAAATTTTTTTTAGATTACTAATTTTTATAATATATAAGTATTGTTATATTTATTTATATACAAGATTATACTTATGTGCAATTTTATTGTAAATTATCTTATAAATAACTATCTAATAATCTATATATCATATAGTTATATTTGAAGCAATTTCTAATAAATATATAGAACATTGTTTTTAGAATTATATTTTTAAATTTATTTTCTACAATTTAAATATTTTTCATGATTTTTAATATTTATTATTAATCTATTTAATTCATACACAGTATATTTATTAATGTTTTACATAATGTTTCCAATAACAATGTTCACTTTCACAATAATTTTAGTAAAATTTACTAACAATGTTAAATTGTTATTAAATACAAAACATCAATTAATAACGTAATATCAATTATTACGTTATAATGATTTTTTATCACAGTATTTTTTTTTAATATTTAGTTCATCAGTTAAAATATAAAATACAAAACATAATAAAAAGTTGATTTAAATCTTAATATAGAATTTACAAAAATTTTAGTTTAATAATTTTAACAGGAATGTTAAAGGTAATTTGATTTGCTGAAAACATAGAAAAAATACATATAATATATTTAATTTTAAATTTAAATTATTCTACCATATACATAATACATAAAAGTAAGACTAATAATTGAAATATATGAAAGTGAATTGTTTTTTTATGTTATACTATATGAGATTTTATATAATTATAACTCATATTTTGCAAAGTAATTTTATAATATACATAATATATATAAAATTTTTTCAAATTTGACTAAATAAGGCAATATTTATTATGCATTCATTTACAGCTTTGAAATATATGAAATTTAATATACTAAGCATGTTTATTTTATTTTTTTTCTTATATTATTATTTATTTCTTCAATAAATGAGTAAGATCTTTGTTTTGTTTCTGAAGCATAATATCTGTCTTTTCTGCTTTATCTGTTATGTTATCAATCAAATCATTTTGTAAATCTATTTCTTCTGATAATCCTATTGCTAAACCTTTCAATCTAGCTAATGAACCACTCATTTCATCTAAATTTTTTTCTAATATTTTGTTCACATTATTACTTAAACGATTTGTACTCTCTACATCATCTATACCACGTAATTTTAATGCTGAACTTGTATTAATTATATTAGTCTGTACTTGTTCTAAAGAATTAGATAAAGCAGGAGATGCCATAGATTCTGAACTGGAAGATTCTGATAATATTGTTGATGGTATTGGTGCATCCATTGATTTACCACTGAGATAATTTTTAAGACTTCCAAACACACTTTTTATTCCTTGGATATGTTTCTGACTAAATCTTAATGTACTATTGATATCATCTAATCTTTTTTCTGTTCTTTCCAATTGTTCTCTTTGTCTAATGAGTTCCTGAAATAAAATCATTAATAAATATGAATTAAAAATCATTAAAAAAAAATATATTAAAAATATATATTTAAATATATATTTAAATGCATGCAAAATATGCATGTAAAATATAAAAAAATATATAATATATAAAAAATTAAAATTATAATTAAAATTAAATTAAAATTTTTTAAATATATTCTAATCTAAATAAATATCATATAAATATGTTATATTTTATTTTTAATAAAAACAAATATATAAAAACATAGATATAAAATTATATGATATATGTCAAGAAAGACATTTAAAATAATAATAATCATATATTATAGAAATATATACATGTATAAAATATTTATTATAATTATAATTATAATTAAATAATGTTAAATTGTAGTTACCTCTGCAGTAGCAGCTCCAATTTGTTCAGAATCTCTTAATAAAGAAATAGATCTTTCTGTTGATTGTATTGTACGTTCTTCTATTTCTTTTTTTCGTTGAAATAATTGTTGACGTTTTTGTTCGAATTCGTTGTCAGAATTACTATAATGATTGTAAGTCATACGAGTAGATCTCGATGGTGCACTTTTTAGAAACGTTTCATCATCGATGTCATCTTCGAGAGAGAAAAATGGATTTTTTGGATCACTTAAGTAATTCTGACTTGCCATTTCGTAGTACAACACACACTAAATGATTTTTTTTCTTTTTAAGTTTTAAAGTCTGGTTAGATATTCCGACAAAGTGACATTCGTAGACACGTAAAATCTAAAGATATGTTATACTAGATGGCATTCTATGCATAAGTGAATATGTAGATGCCATCAGTGATTCTCAAATATTTTATTGATAAATCATTATTTTTTCAAACTTAAAAAGTTTTATTTGAAATATTAAAAGACTAGAATAAAATACTATTAATACTAGAATATTATTAGAATATTAAAAAACTGAAAGATTAATTTAGAATAATTTTTAATTATTTTTAAATACAAATTAAATGCAATTAAAAATAAAATACACAAAACAATAAAAATTGTTAAGAATGAATTAATTTTTCAGAAAAAAAATGTTATTTTTTCATATAAATATTATTTTATTTCTGAACTGAATGAGTAATAAAAATAATGTATAAAATATGACATATAAACTACTAACATATATATATGACATATAATTGCACATATAGGTTAAACAATTAGTTGAATAAATAATACAAATTAATTATTTGATCAAAGAAATAATATAATTCAATAATTTAGAGAAAAGAGAAAAGTATTATAGATCAACAATTTTATCAAACAAGTATATATATATATATATTTTATAGTTTTTGAAAATATGACTTTAAAAAGTAAATGTATAAAATATAAAATTGATAATATTATTTAATTCTATAAATAGAATTAAAATAATTAAAAAATATTTTATTCACGAAAATATAGAGCTTAAAAATATAATGTAAATATAAATATAAAATAATTAAAAAAATTTTAATATATTTTTTTTCTTCTATTATATTTTTTTGTAATACAAAATCACAATTTATTTGAAAATTATTTTAGATATCACAAAATTTAAAATATGTGAAATTTAAAAAATTTTTCACATATTATCTTTTTTATATTATTTCATTATAAAATCGTAAATTTGAACAGAAATATTTTGATCTCAAAAATTTTTCGAAACTTTATTTAGGAAAATATTCAATAAAAATACACAAAAGTTTTCTATTTCTTGAAAACTTTTATAAAATTTTATATTTATAAAATATTTATCATTTTGTTAAATTTCAATCCAATTTGTTCCATATTTTTCTCAATTTTAAAGATATTTATACTTATTTTTTACAATAAAAGCTATTTTTATAATATTATATAAAACAAATATAGATAAAAAATTTAAATAATGAGAGAATAAAAAGAGGGTAAAAATTAAGAATCAGTATTATTTTCAGAATGCCATAAATGAAACAAATATACATGGACAGGGAATAATAAAAAAAAGATAGAAATAAGATAAAAATTAACTATTAGCACCATTTATTAAGTATCAAAAACATATTAAAAGTAAGATAAAATAGATTAGAATTAAAAAGAATTAAAAATAAGTTCCATCTCTTGAATGTTTTTAAAGAAATATTTTTTGATATTCAAGAGATGGTGCTGATCTTTAATTCTTATACTTTGTTATTCTGTTTTTGAAGAAATATTATTGACATTTAAATGGCATTGACAGTCAATTCTTATGTTATTTCTATCTTTTTATTGTTACGTTTCATTTACAGAATGAAGATGGCGATAGTTTCGCAATTTTTCTCCTATTTTTGTTTTTATTATTTGTTTTTGTCTTACTCGTAGCGCATGATCAGAGAGAAAATGAAGAATGTCAATTAAATAACTTATTATTTTTCTTTCAAAACTACAACATTTTAATTTGTAATGTAAAAAAAATACAAATATTATATTTTAAGTTATTAATATATCTTTAATAATAATCTTTAAAAAATAATATACTTTGCTATATTACAACGTAAATATTTTAAATAAATTATGAGTAAAAATCTGATAAAATAAATTATAAGTAATATGCATAATAATATTTTTTCTGATTTTTAAAAAGATATTAAAAAATAACAAAATAAAAATTTATTTTTAATTTTCGTTTAATAAAAATAACTTTTTATAATTAAAAAAATATACGCGATAATTTAAAATCACTATTTCAATTAATTTATTTCGCAATACTTTAGTAATATAAATATAATTATATTATTTAAAATATAGTATTTTATATATGATTACAATTTATTCAAAATATTTATTCCATTCCTCAAAAGTTAATGTAACAATTGATAAAACAGTATGTAATTTCAAATAATGCACAAATTACGTAGTAAGTGCTGCCCCCAAGCGATAAAATATTTAAATATAAACTATAACTGTCGTTCTCTACTTTTCAAATGCCAGTGAGAGCATATCGATTCTAGTGCAAGAAAGTTAACCAACGACTTCGCACGAACGGTTGTGAATTACATCTTCTTCGTTTAAAATAATCTGTTACAAATAATAGATAATATGGAATCTGCTATTGTTCATCTTGAACAAAGCGTAAGTATTTTTACTAATTTTTATTCATTTTTGGATTGTTCATTTTGAATGTTATTTATGTTTTTCAGTAACTATTGAATTTATATTGAATTCAAACGAATGTCAAATGCTAAATGCTATTTTATTATATGAGTAATAATAAATTAATATTTTATAAATTATTGAATGTTATAGGTGCAAAAAGCTGATGGAAAACTAGACATGATTGCATGGCAAATTGATGCTTTTGAAAAAGAATTTGAAGATCCTGGTAGCGAGGTATGTTTTGTTTAAGAAAATATGAATTATATATTTTTTGTTAATTCATTAAGTAAAATTCATAGTTAGTGCAAAAAATTATATTTTTCTTTAAATGTCAATCGTTAAATTAATAGAAAAAATTTAGTTAGAAAAAATTATAATTCAACTTATTTGCTTAAAGGGTATCAAATTTAAAATTTAAATTGCTATTTTTATTTTTATTCTTTTTTATGCTTTTAACAGATTTCTGTGCTTCGTCTATTACGGTCTGTTCATCAAGTCACAAAAGATTATCAGAACCTTCGGCAAGAAATATTGGAGGTTCAACAATTACAAAAACAACTTTCAGATTCCCTTAAAGCACAATTATCTCAAGTGCATGGACATTTTAACTTATTACGCAATAAAATAGTAGGACAAAATAAAAATCTGCAATTAAAATAAGATTAAAATTTTTTATTTATATTTAAATGTATTTTTTAAATTATACTTAATTTATAATTTTTTATTATAAAATTATTATTAATGTTTTAAATCAAAAGTTATTAGAATAACATCAAAAGAATGTTATGTTAAAATGTTGCATATTATATTATCTAAAAAATTCAATATCTGATATATTATTATAAATATGTTGATAATTATCAATATTATCATATAATTATTAGAAATACTTATAATAAATATAATCATTTTATTTGCTTCATAATATAATTATAAAAAAATATTTGTTTAACAAACATATATAAATTTAATAATACTAAAAAAATATAGTTGCAATTTTTATATATAAAATTTTTTGTAATATAAAAACACCCAATATTAGTATATCTTCCAAATACTATTTGTGTCTGATCATAAATATTTATGAAATATTAATATAAATATATTTTATGTAAAATATATTAAATTTTTTTTTATATTTTAATATCTTTGTGTATATATCTAATATAATTAATTAGAAAATACCATAATTATGATTGATTTATTATTAGTATAATAATTTATTATTCAATTTTATTGTTTAATTTATAAATAGTATGGGATCAATAGATATTGCAGACAAATAATTTATTTAACTTTCTCTGTAAGTGTATTATTGGGGGCCAATCTATGTGCTTGTATATTCATGAAAAATAAGTAAGATTTGAAAATATCACTTTCATTTTTATATAAGATGTGTTAATTATATGATTAGACACACTTATATTAAATTTGACTTAAATATATAGAATTATAGAAATTTAAAGTTTAAATAATTAAATAATATAAATAATAAATTTAAATAATTATTATAATATTTGAAAAATCAAAATTAAAAAATGTTCTTAATTTTTTATCCATGTAGAATTTATAATTACAGTGCCAAATTTTATTTATATCTATTAAGATATAGAAGAATAATATACATATTTATAATATATATTGAGTGAGCATATTTAAAAACAAATTTACATTTAATTAAATTTTTATTATTATCTTTTAAAAGACAATGTACAGTTCTTATTAAAATTTATATAATTGATAAAGAATTTTAATTTTTTTTATATGTTATTATGATCAAATTCTATAATTGATTATCAATTAATCAAAATGATCATGATAATATATTCTTATATAAAAACAGAAGATATAAGTAAATTTCTAAATTTCTAATATTTAATTGTAACGAAGTTATACTTAATAATATGTAACTATATTCACTATAATTATTCTGTAGTTAACTATTTCTTCTGTAACAATAATCTTGACTATTCCTACATTCACAATATATATAATTGAAAACTATTTCTTATAACAATTATAACAACAAAAATTTTCTGCTGAAATTAGCATTTTAAAGAATAACTTATATATAATATTGTTATAGTTTATAAATTTTTTTTTTAATATATAAATTTTATTGTATGTATATAATAAGTATAGAGTAGGAAAAATTGCGAGCATATTTTATGACATAAAAGGATAAAGATAGGAAGGTTCAAAGCCAATTGTTGCATATATTAGGGTATGAAAAATTAAAATTGCCTTAAGACACAGATGTGCATTCAGTGAGCTATGTTGGAGTTAAAAGAGAAAAGTCTGTTATTTAGTAATATATAAATAGCATACTTTCATACATCTTGATTGGTCAATTGCGTGCATTTCAAGAAAATGTTTTAATCTTTTTCATAATTTCAAATTTGTACAAATTGATTATAGATTTGTGTTTACAGATTAGATTTGTGTAGCGATTACATTTTTAAGTTAACATTATATTCAATAATATATTTCAAATATTTATTTTGTATCTGCCTTTTTTTTTATTTCTCTTCTATTCCATGTTTCACAAAACAGATAAAAAAAAAAAAAAAAAAAACAGGAAGATCTGTAAGTGTTTGCATTTTCTTGAATGGAGTAACTGAGTTTCATGACCATAAAATTATTAATTGTTCACATAATAAAATAGTTCTCTTCAAACTTAATGCAAGTCGATTATCTATTTAAACGTAATTTACGAGAAACTCCTCTAAGTCAATACTAATAGTTCAGAAAGAAAAAAAGAATATTTGTGATACTCAGTGACTCGCACGTTTATCAGAGTTTATTTATATTTCAGTTAATCAATCGTGTATCCGGTTTCAATTAAAGGCACAGAGTATTAACTGAAAATATAAATTAACTTCTAGATTGACCTCTAGCCTTTATCTAAGCAATTAGATCTGTCAATATCGAAAATATATCGATACATACAATATATGTATATGTAGTAATATCAATCATAGTCACATGTTTGTTTTTTATTTTATTTTATTGTTATATAGCGTGTTACAATATAAAAACAAATTTAATTATATACACAATGTTGTCACTATATCGATCTATGAATTTTTTTATGTAATTGAAACATCATCAAAATGTCAATGATGACGAATTTTTATTTTATCATAGATGCGTAATTGTATTTCGAATCAATCATTTCATTTATAAAAAAAAAAAAATTTTTTATTCATAATTTATATAAGATAAATACATATTTTGATATTTTTTATTTTAGAATAAAATATTAATTCAATAGATCTCTAATTGAGATAAAATATTTTTTTATAAAAAATTTTATTTTGTTATCATAATTATGAGTTTAATAATGAAATTTTACTTTTTAAAATATATACATGTGACTTTGATTTTAAGATAAGTAATCTAATTGTCGTTAAAACTCGTTTTTTAGAATAATAGAAGGTAAGTGAAGAGAAAAATGGTCTGGAACACATTTGAAACGTGCCAAAGTACTTTGGTCAATTAGAATTAAATATTATATACATATGTATATCGTTTTATTTCGATGTAATTGAACGCAGATTTCAAAGCATCTGCTTTTCTATATAGAATACATATCATATTTTCACGATTTTCAAAAATCTACTTCATCTTTTTACTCGTGATATTTCTAACAGAAAAGAAATCATCGATCTTTTGTTTAAACTTGACTCCATCTTAATCGTAATACAAGAGAAAAAAAACAAAAAATATTGTAATTGTATAAGGAAAAATTAATTAAAAACGTAGTAATTTTCTATCATTTATTTATCTTTTTAAGTAAAAACATTCATTTCTTTTTTATTTTATTATTTAATATTGTCCGTTTGTAGCTATTGAAGAAAAATTTATTTTTATTTGTAATTTTCTTTAAAATATATAATATAATTAATTATTGTTTTATATGTTCTTCACAAAAGTATCAAAAATAGTGTGTTTCATGAAAAATCTTAATTTATCATTTCTAAAGAAAAAATAATTAAATGATAACAAAGATGAACTACGTTTTTAATTAAAGACCTTGCATATATGTTTATATAAATGTTACAGATGAAATTTTGATGCATGTTGCACGTTTAGACATAATATGAACATAATGTATCGACCATTTATGTAGAACTTCTTTATTGTTTATTCATGAAATACGCGTTCAAATGATTCGTAAAATTGTACAACTTGATTCCAGTCTATATTTTTGTCTAATTTTATATGATTATAATTAAAATTACGATTATAATTTTATACGATTATAATTAAATTAATTTATTATTAATTATTATTAATTTATTAATAATTAATAATATTAATATATAATATTAATAATATTAATAATATATTATATAATATTAATATATAATTATATATATAATTATATTAATGAAAATTGTAACACAATTTTTTGAATTATTTTTGAAAAATCATTTCATATTAAATTTTTCATTCTATTTTATTGCAATAAGATAATTTTAATAAGTAATATATTGTAAAAATCATTGGAATATTTATTTCAATTTTTCAGACTGGAATTATATAGTATAAGATTCGAATCAAGCGTTGAAATTTATTAATGATTTATTGTATTATACACCATTGCTCAAACATTTCGATGTATATTGTACAAAATTATACAACTCAAATTGTATCTTTTTAGATATTTATCATGCTATTATTATGTAATAAATTATTAACTCTGTAGCAAATCACTAACGAGAGATTTTTTTTTTTATAACCCTGTTTATAATTTTGTTCTTTTCATATTTTCAAATTAGATCAAAATAGTAATGTAATATAATATAATATAATATAAAAATTTATAATATGTTATAAAATATTTATAGGAAATAAAATAATAATTAAAATTGTTTTTATTAATTTTTTAAATATTTTTCTAGTTTTTACTAAAAATATTTTTATTATAATCATCGCGAAATGAATAAATTTAAAAAAAAAATACATAAACTATTCGATTCTGAATATTAAGATGGGTCATGCATTTGGAATACACTTCATAAAATATCTGTTACAAACATATATCATAAATATTAACAGTTTTTATGATCTCTTCAATGATATTTAATTTGACGAATTTTTTTTCATTTATAACCTCAATTTCTTTTGGTTTAAGTATAAATATTCATTTTTATTTAAAATTATTGTTTTTAAATTTTTGATAATATATTATTTATTATTTTGGAAATTAAATGAATAAAAATATTCCTTTCAAATTATTAAAATTATGCATTTCTTTAGAAATTATTAATATATCGATTAAAATCTTTAAAACTTTCATCAGAATTCTAGAAACACTTTATCGTTTAGATTTTTAATAAATTTAACATATCATTTTCACATTTCTCCAGCATTTTTTTTTTTATTGAAAAAAAACCAAAATTATTTGACGTAATTATCTAAAATACGTTTTGAATACTAGGTACCGTGAAATAGCGTAATCAATTGCTCATATCCTCTTACCATCGTTCAGAATGTGGCGGTCTTGCAGACTCTTTGATTAGCAACTGATCATCATTTAGAATGGCCAAGCCATTTTCTTGATGAGAAATTTTAGTAGTTGCGTATTATTTTTTACTAGGGTAGGTCTGATATCGAAAATTGATATATCAACGAAATGAAACGCGCTATTTTTCGTGATATTCACGTAT